TATATCGTTCTTTTGACGGTTATTATACCCGACTTGATTTGTTAAATATTAGGTAAAGAATAAATGAGAGAAAAGAGGGTATTTTGATAATAAGCGAGACCGGCAGTATTGCTGTAGTTGTAAATCCTGGACGCAAGTGAACGGTTAATTAATTTTGTATTTGAAATTTGTTTCATGTTATATAAATTTATAATAATAATTTTAAACAGTTCTATCGTCGTTAATAATACGTTTGTGACTTTAATGTGCTGAACTTTCAAAATCCGGCAAATATGCCTAAAAAGGTGAGCATATTTTAATAAATATGTGTTGAACGCAATGAAAGGCAAGCATTGAAATAAACCACGCTCTCACAGAGTACCAGCGTAAAATAGCAGCTAAATGCTGCTGTGTTTCGTATGGTTATTTTATGAGTTTATTCTATGAAAAAGATTACCCGGACCTATGACAACCGTTACGTGCGAGAAGAGTACTTTACGTGGTAGATGCTGCAGTTATATTAGTAGTATAGTTGTAGCACGAATGGGTCAGCTCGCACGGGCTTAAGGTTGCTGTGTTTCGTATGGTGAGTGTAGAGAACCGGAGACCCTTTTCACTGGAAACGAGGCGATGCCTTAGTTCTCAAGGGTGACAATGCATTTACATTTTTATTCTTTATCGAGGATAAATGTTGATGTAAATGGGCCACAGCATCAGGTGGACTGTGTGCTCTTTTGTGGACCGTATTCTATTAAAAAAATTGTGTAAACGTTATTATTCAATAACTATTAGAGCTCTTCAAAATAGTAAAATATTCTATACCGATGAACCACAATAAAGTAAAATTGCGACTGTCATTATCCGACTGCACCAGAAGGCGGGGTAATGTTTTTCGATAGTATGCCTAAACTGCTTGATGGGTTTTAAAGTGCGTGCTTGAGCAAAATGGCGGGCTAGTCGTTATTTGTGAGGTTTTAAGAGCTATCTACTTGTCATTAAAACGATATATCAACTAATAAAAATTCTATTAAATTTCTACATAATCTTGATCCCATAATAACCAATTCCATTTTTTTAAAGGAGTAAATATTTCTTAAGTAAGCATTATTTTACTTTGTGATTGACACTAATGGATAAGCAATTTATTAATGAACATTTCGTTCTATTTAATTTTTTCAAAGGACTGAAATTTGATTTTATATAGGAAAAATTTTAAAATTCGGGCGTATTTATCACGCAATATATTGTAGTGAGAGCGCGTGGAGTGTATAGGACCGAACGCTCAAGGTCGTTCGTTAGGAGTAGCGCCCACAGAAATAGGTCATTATTATTATTTAGATTATTTAGATTTCTGTGGTAGCATATGAGATGTCGTTAGATTCGTTGTGCGAGTGGAAATTGAAACTTTTTTATTCAATATCTATTATATAAAAATTAATTTTTGTTTGTTAGTATTTTGTGCGCTGCCATACCGTTCATCAGATTACGGTAAAACTTTGTCAACATTTTGTTTACACCTCCGCGAAGGTTATAGCTATTATTTATTCTGTGGTTATAGGTATAGTTACATCGAGTGAAGGTGGTGCTATTGTAGAATACATGGTAATTTTAAACGGCGGTCACCTCGTTTTTTTGGCTCTAGAAAATTGAAAAATCACCCGATTTCGATGATTTTTTTAAATCTTCATTATTACGGCGGATTTGAAAAAAAAATTACAAGAATAAAAAAATGAAAATTTATATTGGTTTGAAGGCTTTAAATGTTCATGAAAATGCACTCATTCACGTATAATTGTTGGTTGTTAGTTGTTATATTTTTTAAAAAAAAAAAAGACAAACATTTTAAATTAAAAAAAATTAAAAAATCTTTATTTATTAATTTTCTATTTTGGTTTTTATTAACTGTAAGATCGAGCGATGCGAGCTCGGGACTTAGGGCATCTCTTTCTAACCTAACTTGTCCGAGTCGGGATGCCTTAAGTCCCGAGCTCGCTTCGCTAAAAAATTAACAAATATACATTATTGTGATTATATTTTCAAAAAAAAATTCTTTCAAATTTTTTTTAAATTTGTATTATTTAGTCTGGCCGTAGAAGGAAAAAGGGAGATCTCCCGCCGGGCAAGGTGTTACGCCTGGGGAGCGGCCAACGCTCCGTGTGATAGTTCGAATCTGTTCTATACAACATGTAACAAAAACCCTGTGGTTCTCGTTAACTGCGTTATCAGAATCAGTCTAAGCATATAGAAATATTTTTTCCCAAAAAACACATAAAAAAATTAATTTTAATGAAAAAAAAAATAATTTGCAAATTGCATGTGGTTTTATTATCTCCGAGCAGTAAGAGGATAGTCAAAGACCACGCATTACCGATACTCGTGTTAGTTAGAGAAAATAAAACCACATACAATTTGCAAATTAATATTTTTTTAATTAAAATTAATTTTTTTAAATGTGTATTTCGGAAAAAAATCATTTCCATACGCTTGGATACTGATTCTGATAACACACTTAACGAGAACCACAGGGTTTTTGTTACATGTATATATTGTTTATGATTCAGAATTTCGATAGCGCGATTTAGGCTTCGGTGTGTTTCGCTTGCGGCGCGAGGACAGCGCAGCCACATTTAGTTTGAGATATAGCAATCACTGTCAATATTGCATAATTTTTTTTATTTAATTACAAGATTTTTCAAGGATAATATAAGTTATTGATTTATTTATGAATATAATACATAGTTAATTCTTTTCATTTTGGTCTTTTCCATAGAAACGAAGATTTAAAAAAAAAACTCATCGAAATCGGATGATTTTTCGATTTTCTAGAGCGTTTATAATAACATTTAAAGTTATAAAATAGTGAGATAAAAAAATAAACATTTTTCTGTGCTTTTTTTAAATGTTTGTTTTTTGTGTAGATTAACAATAAAAATATACAAACTTCGTTTAACGCTTTGCAAAAAAGTTATGAACGATTATATTCGAAAAAGTGCGTTTATGATCACATTTAAAGTCAAAATTATATGAAATCTTAAGGTTAGATATTTTCTATATTTTTTTCCATAAATCCGCCGTAAAGACGAAGATTTGAAAAAAAAAAATATAATAGAAAGTGAATTGTACGCAGTCGAGTCCTATTTATTATAGTTTTTACCATTAAGATTGTCGTATTTAGCCAAAAGAGACTACAACATTTTAAATATTTCGTAAAGTTGATTAGACTAGCAGTAAATCTCGTAGAATATGACTTCCGCAAGCAATTACTACTCAAGTGTCGCACTATTCTATAACAGACTTTAAATAAGAAAGAAATTTTCAATTCGGCTGTATAAACTTTTTTGCGTGTTGCGTGTATGTATGTCTTTCTTTTTCTGTGGATTTTAACATGAATTGTCGCTATATTCGTCTTATTTGCATTAGTAACGGGTTGGCTATAGACGTTCGGTACTTGATTTTAATAATGTTTTAGTGAAGGAGGCTTGTAGAGTTAAGTTTGAACCTATTGCATTGTTTTTGGATGTCGGAAATTCGTTTTGAATTAATTACGTTCAAAATAAATTTCCCTAAAAATTGCTTATAACGAAAAGAAATCCTACAATCAAATATCTCAATTTAGTCTAGTTTAATGATGTAGATGTCTGTTACTCGATTTTTTTTAATTTGTTTTCTATTTAGGTTTGTCTGGATTAAGCTAGAACATTTTACACTGTTTATGTATTTCGGAAATGCCTAATGAATTATTTACGACAAATATAAATTTGACAAAAAATATCATATGTATGACAAATATGTAAATTTTTTTAACACGGATACACCTATAAAATAGTTAATCACTCGGACCCAGACAATCCATTTGTTGCTGAATACGGAGAGTTTTTTTCAAAAAACAAAATTAGAACTAATCACATTTACATTGTATCATTTACCAAGTGTAGGGCAACCTGATTATAGATACGATTGGTCGAATCTGTTCTAAATCCGAATCAGCACGCCCCGACTCCTCGTAGTCTTGTTTGCCCTACCCCTAGAGTGATTTTGTAAAGCTGTAGGCGCGGATGGAGGATAAATTGCAAGCAGACATGCGAACCGTAACGGCTTGAGACTGGTGACCGAACTAAAGACTACTTTTTTTTTAGAGTTCCGCGCAAAAAAGAAATCAGTACCTATGAAATACAACCGTAATAAATTCCACGCGGACGAAGTCAGCTAGTAGTGTAAACAATTTTTTCTTTTTTTAATAAACTTTTTTATTCGCAATCGGGTTTTTAATTAATGCTTTAACCATTGAACTTGGTAATGTACACGAAATCTACGAGGGTAGTTAAACGGTTTCGCAATATTTTTCTGGAATGAAAAGCACAGGCTTGCTCCATCGCGTTTCCTCAGGACGTGTTGACAGACTATACGCTATGTCACTTCGTAAACCAGTAATACCATAATTCTCCACTTTTTTGTCTTTCATAATGTTTAAATTTTTTTAAACAAAACTTGTTTAGTAAGTTAGTGTTATTACATATTATACTAATAAAGAGTGCATGATTGATAATAAACCAGGGATTGAAGTGATTGCTATCATGCTGTTTTTAAAAATATTTTCGTACTTATAATTGTATAAAATATTATATTATAAATTAATGTTTTAAAAAAAGTTCCGCTGGTTTTCTTGCTGATTCTTCCCAGAACAGAGGTTTTTTTTACGAACCGGTGGTAAAACTTTCACTAACTATTTTCGTAAAATATATTGAATAAAAATTATTCTATTCTATTTTAATCTTCTACATGGGGAAATGCCTACACATACCGGGCTCGCGAGATAGGGATGGATTATGGCGGATTCACCCCGACTAAAACTCCATGGTTTTCCACCTTTACCGCATATTCGCAGGTCCACTGGAACGTTTTCGCACACATCCGCTGCCCCATCAGCCCCGGTGGACTAGCAGCCCCTTCTCGGAATGGGACTTTTCCTCCCCCTACCATAGCTAACGTTAAATGATGTTAAAGATGAATTTAACTTCTAGGTGAAAGAAGAAAAAAAATCACTAAAGGTGGAAAAATCGTCGACCAAAAAAGAAGATACGTCCGCTTCAAAAACGCAGAGAGTGGGCAGTGACATGAAGCAGTTCCTGCTGCCCCCCAGCTACCCTAACCAGGTGGTGTACGTACAGAAACACGTGCGGGAGAACGAACTTGCCAAACTTAATGGTCTCCAGGAGGACTTGCATAATATTCGGGTAACCGTGCTAATATGTTACACATCTGGTTTTATAGTTATACTAATGTTAAAGACTCGCTGCCCGCGGTGCAATAAAAAACGGAAACAGGCCTGCCGTAAGTGCGACAGAGGTTGCATAGCATAACAGCCGGCGTCCTGTCTCCCCATTTTAAGGTGGATACCACGAAAATTTGGTGGTTTTTCTATTTCACAAATATCTTTAAGTATTTTAGATAACAAACCAAAGTTTTGGTATATGATTTTTGACTATATGACCTAGGATTGCATAAAAGGAAAACACGATTTAATCACGACACTACAATATTTTTACGAATAAGTTCATGGAATTATTTTAAGGCATAGTTAATAATCATATCTAGGTTCTAATAAACCCGTTTTTTTAACCCATAACGTAATTTTGTTGAAAAAAATATAAATGTTGTTTGGCGCTTACTTAGTTTTTTTCAGAGCGCTTGCTCGGTATGTATAGCTATCTCATAATTTGCGTATTATGAAGTCATTGCATCACTTTCATTTTGACACTCCCTTAATCGTTCGCTAACTTCACCGACAAAGGAATAAGCCACGCCCCCAAAACTAGGATTTATCCCCTTAAAGGTACAGACAGACGTAATCATTACTAGCACGAAAGCATGCTTTTATTGAGCAAGTGCTCATTAGTAGCACGTGTGTCGCACTCGCACTACTGTTAGTAATGAGCATATTTATTTTGAGCATGCTTAAAAATCAACCGATGTTTGATTTTCGAGCATGCTACCTGAGGCGCGGGTAGAAGGGCGTGCTCGCAGCGTGTCTGAACTGAACAGGATTGCTTATGAGCATGTTTTATCGAATCGATCTCGATTCGCGACTGTTGATGCGTCAATTTAAAATAAAAAAACCCTCGATGTGTCACGTTGGGGGGAAGAAAAAGCTTTGCTTTTTATTCTTACACCATTCGGTTGTAAGCGATATGATTATTTTATTAAGTTCTGTACGGATAGCACTGTCACTCTATCTTTGTATATCCATTTCGGCCGAGAGTCTGGCGCTAAATAGCACGTCTTATGCTTTAAGCGTACTTATAGCTGGCAAATGTGAACAGTTGCAGAGCATGCCCATTTTAACGCTATATTTACGTTTACGTTTACGTTATACGTTTATGAGCATGCTTTGTTTTGAGTACGTCTGTACGTACTATGATGCACCGCAGGCGGCGAGTCTTTACCATTAGTATATGTATGTGGTCTGACTCGATTTTTGTCTAGGAGTCTAGGTAGGTACGACCTTTCTATACTACCCACCTTAGCATGGCATAGCTAACTAACATTACTGATTATTCTTGTTATCCATGGAATAAAACTAATTGTATGGATTTTATGTAATTACTGTCAAAACGGCGTCTTTAAAGCATCGCCCTTTTGACCCTTTATTATTTGATTGTACCGATGAAGAGCTATCGTACTACAAAGCCATCCATGCAAACAAGGCTGTAGGTTTTGAGTTACAAGAAAGAGACCATATTAGTCGGATGACCATATTACCCTCACGTACTATATAGATTTAAAATAAAATAGAAAGAACATATTTGGCGACGGCTCGTGAATTCTTTTAAAGGCCACCGGCAGAATATCAGCGCGACACAGTGCTGAGTCAGATGCCTACCTGTTGCTGCATTAATGATAATGTAGCATAATATATTCTTGTGGTGTAATGATTTTATATGTGGTAGAGCCATGCTGCAGTTATATTAGAAGTATAGTTGTAGCACGAATGGGTCGGCTCGACCGGGGAAGGACCACGCTCTCACAGAATACCAGCGTGAAACAGTAGCTTACTGCTGCTGTGTTTCGTATGGTGAGTGTAGAGAACTGGAGACCCTTTTTACTGGAAACGAGGCACCCCATCTTAGTCCTAACGGGTGACAACGCATCTGCATTTTGTATCGTAATCGAGGATAGATGTAGATGTCTATGGGCCGCAGCAACCACTTACCATCAGGTGGACTGTGTGCTCGTTTGTCACACTATCCTATAAAAAAATAGCTCCAAATAAAGGCCAAGATGTAGATGTAGTGGTGGTGTAAGAATATCCACTGCACTATATCCTCCCGTGGTCCCGTGGATGTCGTAAGAGGCGACCGAGGGAGATTGAAATAGGTGATGGGCAGAAGAACTTTTTGATAACAACTCAAAGTAATAACAAACTGCGGTTGCCAACCCGCCCGCCGAGCGTGGCAATTATGGCAAAATCTCCCCTATGAGGCAATCTATGGGGGAGGCCTATGTACAGCAGTGGAAAAAAAGATGTTTCTTTTTTTCTTGATTTGTTTTATTATTTGCAGCATCTCCTGGAGACCATGGATGTAGATACCTTGCCGGACAGAGGCGTGAAACTGATAGAAAGGCTGACAGCCCTCGAGCTGGAGGTGAAACGTCAGGGGGACAAGGTCGCTAACATGGTGGTTGAACCAGGTATGTTATCCTTTAGCTTAACAACAGAAACCAACACAACTTTTCACAATCTATACTACCTACAACTACATTACAAACACTTCACTCAAAATCACACACATTAATAAACATATATTTACAAAACAAAACACTACTTTAAGAACATATAATATATGTTCATTAATTCATTACAGTCCTTCACAAGTATACTGCTGAACATAGGCCTCCCTCAAGGAATGACACAAAGCACGGTACTGAGCAACCTGCTTCTATCGACTTCTTGCGTGTCTTACCAGGTCTTCACTCCATATAGTGAGGATTCGCCCTACACTGCGCCTTATGGTACGAGGCTGCCACTCGAGAACCTTTTTTCCCTATGGGTTGTCGGCTATATGGCCTGCCCATTGCCACTTACCCATTGGGCTATGTCGGTCACTCTGGATCTACTGCAGATATCCTCATTTCTAAGTTTATGTTCAGAGAAACCCTGAGCATAGCCCTCTCCATAGCTCGCTGAGCGACCTTGAGCGCCCTCATATGGCCAGCAGCGAAGGACCACGTCTCAAATCCATAGTACGAGCTCAGCGCTCCCAACACCTACCGGCGTAGGTGTGACATGGACATTACACATGACCTTTGTTTTGTCCATGTTCATCTTAAGACCTATCCATTGGAAAGCACTATTGAGGTCATTGAGCATAGTGCCTAAGTCTACCACCGATTCTGCCATAAGGACTATAAATCATCGGCAAATCGAAGTTGAGTGATGTACTTGCCATTGGTGTTAATACCATATCCTTTCCAGTTCAGTAGCTTGTATGTATATGTTCTTGGATAGGGGTGGGGGTATTTGCCATAGTTGCCATGTTAAGCATATGGGCCTTTACAATTCAAAATAAAAAGTCCACTGCTGAACATAGGCCTCTCCCGTAGGTGACCTCATAGGAAGGATTTTGCTACAGTCGCCACGCTTGGCGGCGGGTTGGCAACCACGGTTGTTTATTATTGTTACTTGTTATCAGGGAGGTGCTGCTGCCCATCTCCTGGTCTGTTTTTCTCAGTCTCTTCCATCCACTCTTACGCTGCTACTTCACGACTATTTTTCTAATTATTTGATCTTAATATTTTATTGCATAATTTTAAATGTACACAGATAATCCAACGCTCAAAGACGTTGCTCAAGATGGATTTAATGGAGGTGAAAATAAAGGGCTTTCCTGGGATGACATACAAAAGGCCAGTAACGCGGTACAGCCTAGAATGTTTGGCAAACAAGGTATGTATCAATCTTTTATATTTAAAATAATTTAGTTATGTTACATATTGATACGTGAAGTGAAAATGTTGTACCTCAATTTAAGCATATTGCTTGCATAGAGTATTGTAAGATTTGGCATAGTTAAAGTTTATAAAGAAAGAGTGCATTAAACTAAAATGTTACAAAAATATTAAATAAAACAAAACATTCATTGTTTACATTCTTACTGCCAATGTCAAACAATTGATAGTCTGTGGTCATTAGCTCAGAGTAAAGAATTTAAATTGTTGCCACCAAATATATATATGTACTGCCCGATTGACTGAATAAACTGTAATTTAGTGTCATTTCCAATTTATGAAATGTATGTCAAATCAAAAAAGCGTTTATTCTATGTTTTGTATATAAGATATGTGTTTTAATGTGTAGCTGAAAGTAAAATACAGCTTTCTTAATATACAAACCTAGTTTTTTTTTTAATCAAATACGTTCTAATTTCGACGACTATATGACAATTAGTATTAATAAATAGCTTTTGTTCATGATATTATAATTTTTTGTATATTAGTATACTAATAGAACAAGTTATGGGTCTATTTCTTTTCTCCAAAGTTTCGTTTTTCATTGGCCGCTAAAAGTTGAGGTCATAGTCATTGTTAAAATATAATTTTTTTTTCAAAATTTGCCTTTACAAATCGTTTTTTCAACGTCATAAAAGCTACGCCATCGCTTCAATACCACTCTTAACTGCGGGAGACCTGGTAAGAGGAAGCGACAAGAATTTAAGAAATGCACTATTAGACTATTTTACTTCCATCATGACGAAGTTCAGTTCAAAAGATTACAAAAGCACCTTTGAAGTTTCTTGCTTTGATGTTTAAATAAAACTCCGGAAACAAGTTACTTAATTATTTTAATCAACGATTGAAGAGATAAAGCAACAATAGAAATTATTACCACGCAATGGCGGATTACAGCTCACAAAGACAAACAACTTATGACGTCACCTCTGGGTGCGTTCACAAAGTCTTTTAGAAATAACACTTTCGCCTTTTATTTTGAATGAAAAAAATGTCATTGAGGAAGTAAAATATATTATTTTCTCACGCCGAAGAATAGTTTTCATACAAGTGTAATTTTCAGCGATGGCAACTCACATGGCGGAACGGAATCTGATACTGGAGCGTCTCCGTGACCTGCACGAGTCCCTGGCGTCCCGGCCCCCAGAGAACGAATTCGCAGAGAATCCAGCAGCACTAAAGACGCAGTTGATGCCCCACCAGCTGCATGCACTGGCCTGGCTACGTTGGAGGGAGACGCAGCGACCGGCTGGTGGCATACTAGGTTTGTGTGTGTGTGTGTGTGTGTGTGTGTGTGTGTGTGTGTGTGTGTGTGTGTGTGTGTGTGTGTGTGTGTGTGTGTGTGTGTGTGTGTGTGTGTGTGTGTGTGTGTGTGTGTGTGTGTGTGTGTGTGTGTGCTGTGTGTGTGTATGGATATCCGCGACGATACGACGTAGCTCTTTCGTGTGTGTGTGTGTGTGTGTAAAAGGTGTGTCGTGTGTGCAGCGTGCTTTCGTGTGTGTGTGTGTGTGTGTGCGCCCTCTCGATGTGTGTGACGACCTGGTGCGCGTGCTTAAGTCGTGTGTATGTAGTGACCGTGTTTTTGTGTGCGTTCGTTAGGAATGCGTGTGTTCCGCAGTAGATTGTGTATGGATATATGGATGATATCTTCATTGCTCACGAGTCATACGCAGTGAGCATAGCCCTCTCCATAGCTCGCTGAGCGACCTTGAGCGGCCTTATACGGCCAGCAGTGAAGGACCACGTCTCAGATCCATAAGTCATCACTGGCAACACGCATTGGCTGTACAATCGCGTTTTCAAGTTTTGAGATATACCTGATGAGAAGATGCGTCGTAATTTCCCGAACGCTGCCCAGCCGAGTTGAATCCGTCGATTGACCTCTCGGTCGAAGTTGGACTTATCTAGTCGGACTATTTGTCCCAAGTAAACATACTCGTCAACAACTTCGAGCATAGTGCTCTCAACAATTACCGGCATAGGTGTGACATATGGACGCTACACATGATCTTTGTTTTGTCTATGTTCATCTTAACTTATTCGGTGGCAGGCACTATTGAGGTCATTGAGCATAGATCCTCCAGTGATTCTGCCATAAGTAATATATCGTCGGGCAATGAAAGGTGAGTGATGTACTCGCCATTGATATTAATATCGTATGGTTTCCAGTCCAGTAGCTTGAAAAAGTCTTCCAATGCCGTGGTGAACAGTTTCGGGGATATTACTTCACCCTGTTTTATACCTATCTGCAGTTGGATAGAATTGTCTAAAGCCTTTTTGGAAACCGACTTTTTCGGGAGTCTGGAAGTCGTCGAGTCTGCGTGCGAGACGATTCGTAATGACTCTCGAAAGTTTTTCAAGAGAGTGTTGTAGCCCTTCTTGAATTACAAGATCACCGCAATTCTGCCCCATGCCTCCGTAGTATTGCCACCATGGAGGACGGAATTAAAGAGCTTCTGAATTACTTCAAGTAGCAGTTTTCCACCCTCTTTCCGAAGCTCCACTGTAATTGCATCAACGCCTGGGGCCTTGCTATTTTTATGGTGCTGGAGAGCCATTTTAATCTCGCCCAGGCTGACGTCCGGGATACGATCGGAACAGTGTCGGATAAGACCTGCTCAATGAGGCAATTGTCTGACAATTAAGATAGCATCACTGACGAAAACCTTTATGCTTCATTTTTTATTTCCAGCGGACGACATGGGTCTAGGTAAAACTATCACGATGATAGCACTGATAGCAATCGAAAAGGAAAGTGACATGGATGATGACGACGACGAGTACGACGATCATACTGGAAAGAACAGTTCCAAATGTAAGTTTTCTACATTTCAATTTAAAAATTTAAGTGTTACAATTCTTCTTTGATTTATTTTGTTTGTTATAAAAAGTCTGAATAGATTCCAGCCCCATCCAATTTTTGAGGGATGATTATTCCCTCAAAAATTAAATTGGAGATTTGTGTTGGAGTAGGGAAGACCCTGACCCATTGCGTAATATGACATAAAACGTAATAAAAGTACGCAGATGCTGGGTTTTCTTAAACGCAATACCAGAGGCTTTCAAATAAGCACTAAAATAATACTCTTTAACACCCTAGTAAGGAGCCAAAAGGAATATGCGAGTACAATATGGAACTCGCAACGAATATGCACTCGCAAAGAAAAGATATTCAGAGAGCCTTTATAAGACATCTTGCCTTGATTTGTAGTGGAATTTGACGTACGTGTCCCTACGAACAGCGGTTGGCATTTTTTAAAATACCTTGGTCTGAATAACAGGTGAAAAAATCACGACCTGCTCGTATTATATAAAATATTAAAATGCATGCTGTGAACTACTACAATATTTCACCCTAAATGTACCATACAATATTCCCTGTCGTCCAATAACAAAACTTTTACATGCTCCTCCAATCAAGGACTAACATGGGGTCATATGCCCCGGTCATTAATTTTATATGTGGTGGAGCTATACTGCAGCTACATAGTAGTATCGCGAATGAGAAGGACCACGCTCTCACAGAATACCAGCGTAAAATAGCAGCCTAATGCTGCTGTGTTTCGTATGGTCAGAGTAAAGAAACGGAGACTCTTTTTTTATTGGAAACGAGGCTATCCATCTTTTTCCTCAGGTATAACAACGCTTCTGCATTTTGATTCTTACTCAAAGACCGCAGTCACATGCGGCAGAGGTGAAACCTTTAGAAAATTGCGAATAATATTACTTTGTTATAGCGCAACGACATGCTCACTTACCGGCTGCGCCAATCAAGGAATGGATATACGGTTTCAGTAAAATATAATTTTATTGAATAAAACACATACAGTATTTATCGAGCGAAGTCGAATAAAAAAGAAAATATCGTACAGATTGACTATAAAAAATAAAAATGATATACAACTTATATACTGGGTGACTATTTTTACCGTCTGGAAAATAATATGGTATTTTGTGCAAGTGGAATATAAGCTATCCTCGAATTTATTTGTATTTTACAAATAAATTATATATATAACAAAATATAACTAGATAGGCAAAATATCCAAAAAAATACGTATATAAAGTCGTAAGAGCGAGCGGTACGCGTGCACATTTCTTTCGTTGTGTAGACGCCAGGCGGCTGAGTACAGCGGCCGACACATAGTTGCAGCCAACATTTTTAAAATCCGCTGACACGCGCCTATACCAATAAAGTATTTTTCTCTTATAAGTATTTAGGCACTTTTGATATTTATTTTATATACGACTGCCTCGTTGGTTTAGTGGTTGTAGTAGTGTGACAGCTGATCATTAGGTCCTGGGTTCGAATCCCAGGTTGGGGCGAAAAAACATTTTATTGTTTTTTTTCCATCAATAAATTCTCTTAGCTGACCGGAGTCAAGAAGTTGTCGGAGTCTCACCCCCGTGTCACGGAAAGCACAAAAAGCCGTTGGTTGGCGGTGGTTTTTACTAATGCAAGATCATGATATACTGGTTTATAGTAAAATACTTGGTCGCTGAAAGGAAGAGGTTTAAAATAGCAGCACTTGCACTCGTTGTACCTTTGGCCCCGTTTAATTAAGTTTTAGATTGATGTTATTATTGATAAAAAAAAGAGGGATCACAGCTGCCTTGCGTGCTCTGACAAGATTTTTGTCTTATAATCACTTAGTATTCTACAATTTTTCAATTAAAATTTTTGATTTAAGTCACTTGTACTACAAAATAATGTACGATACACAGAACTTAAGTAACTGTTTATTAAGACGTGTAAAGTTAGTACACTCGCTTCGCTCGTGCGCTAATCTCACACGGTTCTATAATCGGCTACTTAAGTCTCGTGTATCTTAATATATTAATATGGCAGTCCTTTGTATTACAGACACAAAAATCATTTATTTAGCTTATAATATATCGTTTTGTTACCTACATATTTTTGTATAACTGTTACGAACAACGTCAAGCACCCGATTTCATACATCTCCTTAAAAGACGTATGCGTCAAAACAAATGTTTGATTTAATGGTGCAGTGATCCGCGGCGGCACGCTGGTGGTGTGCCCCGCGTCGCTGATGCAGCAGTGGGCGGGCGAGGTGGCGCAGCACTGCCGGCCGCACGCCGTGTCCGTGTGCCAGCACCACGGCGCCGCCAGGGCGCAGCAGCCGCACCGCCTCGCCACCTACGACCTCGTGCTCACCACCTACAACATCCTGCTGCGCGAGACTGAGAAGGTAACAGTACAGCATCGCAGCACCACGGCGCCGCCAGGGCGCAGCAGCCGCACCGCTAGGTTATTGCTTCCAAGAATTGCAAATTTCTCTATCGCACGATACAACGATATGGAGCGAACGGTATGAAACAGATAATATTTTTGAAAATACTTACTCGCGCTGCGTATCGGCACTTCACAGTCCTTTTAACGAAATAGGGTAATGCAAACTACAATGTACGATATAGGGTAATGGATTCCCTTATGCTACCTGCGCTAACTGTATTATAGGAAAAGCTTTTAGTTTTATGATTGTTTCGATCTTGGTGCCGCAATAACGTACTGCTCTACGATAGAAGACAAGCTCCTAGAAATCTGTCTGGTAGTGTATATGTTAGCTTTTTCCGAATTATAGGGTATGTTCCAAAATAGAACCCAGTGTACTATCCAATGCAAATGACGTCATGAATCGACGCCATACTGGTGATTCATTCCAAAACATAGGACAATATATAACGCCATACATTTGCGCCGTATTGGAAAAGTGTTGGCGATTATTTTGTGCTCCAAAAATCATTATATCCTTGTAATGGAGATACCAGAAATTATTCTATAATTTTTTGTATTTGCATAAATAAAAACAAATTCTGACATGCTTCATTCAGCGTGCACACAATTAAAAATTGTTTTAATACGGCCGGATATCCGACACAATATGGCGGCGGCACGCCAGTACAATACAGCGTCAATTGATGACATCATTTGTATTCGGCAGTATACTGGAAACGATTCGGAACATACCGCTAATCTCTCTTGTATACAGTATATCCTGCTGAATAAAGAATAAGGCCAATCATTGTAACCGTGCATTAAAGTGACTCACCTAAGAAATGAGCGCATTCCCTTTTCATCCCCCACACTTTTTTCATGGTACTTGGAGCCGGATGCAGCTTCAATACATTGTTCTGTTTGTAATAAGAAGAGTATTAGTAATATCGCGTGATGGTAAAATGGAGTCCGTAGTTGATCTAAAGCAGTGTTTTCAGCTCGTACTTTGCTTTATACATTAAACAAAATAATCTGCAAAAAAACATGTTCTCGTGGTCGACGCAAATCGTCGTCTATTGATATTAATGTTATCCTTTGTTTCGCGCACTTACAATCAAAATGATTTATTTTATCACTCTTCTTTCGCTTTAACACGCTTATAATTTGGAAGTGTACACAATTGTGTTTACCCCCTTCGTCTCAAACGTGTTATTTTTTTATTTTATAGGATAGGGTGACAAACGAGCACACAGTCCACCTGATGGTAAGTAGTTGCTGTGGCCCATAGACATCTACATCTATCCTCGATTACGACTCAAAATGTAGATGCGTTATCACCCGTGAGGACTAAGATGGAATGCCTTGTTTCCAATAAAAAGGGTCTCCGGTTCTCTACACACACCATACGAAACACGGCAGCAATGAGCTACTATTTGACGCTGGTATTCTATGAGAGCAAACCAGGTTGGTTATTTAAGATCTGTACTTCTCTGATGGTCGCGCGTAGTGTAAGAGACAGAGAGAGTGAGAGAGTGAGTGAGATGGTGAACAGGGCGGTGCGTTGTGCCGCGCTGCATTAGCTACATACCAGGCAGACTGTGAGTTCAGTTGTCACTTTGGTTTTATAAACACGAGAGTCCTTCCTTATCGGTGGATGCGCTAAGTGCATAGGAGAGAGCATTTACGTTAGAGCGCGCACAGTCCGCATTTACACTATAGCTAATAATTACAGGTCACGATCGGTCATCAACTACGGCGGGTGTGCTGATACCATTAAACGTTACCATATTAGTGTATTACCTATTATTTTAATATATTATTCTTGCACAATGACTTCCGTGTGTTACCATTTTAACCAATTTATTCGTTGGAATTATATCTGAAAGAGGGATGATGAGTAAGTGAGAAGGAAAGAGTTAACTTAGAGTTAGTGAGACGGTGTACAGGGCGGTGCGCAACAATACGGCCGCCGCGGTATTGCTACGCTAAGCGCGTCGAAAATCTTCTTTTTTGAAGGGTGCTGCAGTAGCCACATACCAGGTGGACTGTAGGTTCGAGCCCTATATTCTGATTTCGATTGTCACTTTTGTTGTGGAGTCCAGAAATCATACATTCTACTTTATGTTGACGTGGTTCGAATCAACGAGCTGCGAATTACTTATAATGCACCGATTTTCAACTGCCAACTCAATGTGTGTAATAAACGGTTAAAGTAACAACACGTGTGCCTACTTTTATACGCCACTTATACTGACGTACTGTCAACTTAAACTATCTTAAAACTACATAGCTATAAACTAATTTAACTATCAAAGAAGCTTTATGAGACGCAAACTGTGGCCCGCAGATAATACAAGTCTTTCTCTATCGGTATTTGTGTGTAGTAGGTAGGAAAGAGACAGATAGAGAGAGGGGTAGTGAGTATTGATTGAGTGAGAGGGCATGCACAGGGCGGCGCTCTGTGCCGCGTGCGCTGGCGGCGCGTGGTGCTGGACGAGGCGCACGCGGTGCGCAACCACAAGAGCCTGACGGCGGCCGCCGTGCTGCCGCGCTCGCTACGCGCTTTCCGCCGCTGGGCGCTCACTGGCACGCCGATGCACAACCGCGACCTCGACCTCTTCGCGCTGCTGCGCTTCCTCGGCTGCTCGCCCTTCGATGACCTGCAGGTGAACGCACGCTCACTCAAACACGTGCACGTATACGTACACGCACGTATACACACTTACACGTACTCGTACATGCAGATAGATAGATAAGAAATATATGAAGCAATTTTGTCCTTCGCCAATCACACACGTAAATCAGTGACTAAAGTAGGTACAAATTAACGTAAAGTAAAGTTACAGTCTATATACGTCCCACTGCTGGGTACAGGCCTCCCCTCATTTCTGAGAGGGTTTTAGGGCAAGGAAGTGTCCGCCGCGCTGCCCCAATGCGTGTTGGCGAACTTCACATGTCTTCGAAAATATTTTTATTTCTCTTATTCCTCAGACATGCAGGTTTCCTCACGATGTTTTCCTTCACCGCCGAGCACGTAGTAATTAGCACTTAAAATTGCAATTAACAATTTCATTGTTGCCGGCGGGGATCGAACCTGGGTTACTCGCGTTCTGTTATATTTACAGCGAGCGTTAACCATCTGAGCTACTACGGCAAATTAACATATTACAAAAAATGTTACATAATATTAAGAAATCAAAATATATGTATGTATATTGCAATTTTAACAAATGGGTCCTTATAATAAAAAAAATTATTACTTTGCAACCTTCCGCTAACTAAATACAATGATGTGTCTTACCTGGATTCAAGAGCACCTCCCGCCCTCCCTCAATTGCATGCACTAACTCCGTCACCACTAGTCCCAGCACCACTACTCCCAACACCACTACTCCCAACACCACTATTCCAGGTAAGACACACCATCGACGACAATACGACACGTGTTTCGCCTCTACACGAGGCATCCTCAGGTGATGTAGACTCTACGGCGACTGACCGCTAAATCTTAGCGGTGTTGGGAGTAGTGGTGCGGGGACTAGTGGTGACGGAGTTAGTGCATGCAATTTAGGGAGGGCGGGAGGTGCTTTTCAATCCAAGTAAGACACATCATTGTATTTAGTTAGCGGAAGGTTGCAAAGTAATACATTTTTTTTATTATAATGGATTTCTGCAAAGTAACGCCTGATTCTATCAAATGGGTCCTTGCTCAGTGATTAAAGCTGAACGCACATTTGTCAGTATCGTATGAGCCGCACGCGCCGTACTTGCCGAACTTTAGAATTCGTTGTATGAAATCGTATGAAAACTTGCACATTGCAGCCGCACCGTACGCGCCGTATTATATAAAATGCGCTAGGCATCCGAATATTCCAGGAGGCATGCTGATGATGCCTTATAATGCGACGCATTCGGCGCGTGCTGGTACTTAGTGTTGTCTAATGTTGCGAAATTCATGGATTTTCCGCTAAAACTGGTGAGGTCGACTTTCGTTTCAAAATATATTTTTACTTCATTTTAGTATTATTTATTTACTTTTACTGTGTAGGCAACAATAAGTTGTCAGGCAAGACTCGTGTAAGACGATCAAGCCCAGTGGAATCCAAATTTGAGGAAATAGTCACTTTTGTGATTACTGTCTTAATAATTCTGCATTCCTAATTGATGTGAGAGACTAATTAGCAGTATGAATGTAAAAAGGCAAGCAGAGGAATAGAATAAACACAAATCATCTAACAGCCGTATTAGGAGGACGCTGCGGTTTGAAGTTGGCGGAAAAATGCTGCAATGAAATTGAAATTCCGATAAACGTTGTGAAATAAAATGGAATAAATCATATCAATCTGAAATTGACGATTGTGTCGACAAAAATAATTAATCTGAAGAAGAAGATTTCGAGCGATTCGAGCTATCCAATGTCATTGTAGCGTTTCACAACAGTGGTTGGAAAAACTACACGAGTTGTTGGCAATACAAAAGATTTGCGTACGGTGCTGACAAATGTGTGTTCAGCTTAATATTACTCAGAGAGAAAACGCTGCTTTTCAGACGACGACAAGTACGCACACGTATACATACATACGCATACGCATATGAACACATACGTACTCGTACATGCACGGAATGTAATGACGCATTCCGTCATAATCGGCTTATTTGCAATGCTATTGACATTACTAATATTCTGTTTTACACCACTCCTGGTAAGCTTAAAATTTTTGTTAGGTGATTCACGACAGTAATCGAGTAGCGGATTCGAACTTGTACTGCTTCCGCAAGATTGGCTTGACAAAACGTGTGCGGAGAGGCCAATGCTTCTTGTAAGAGTGGTATCTATTTAAATCATTCATTAGAGAGAGACAATATAATACAGACCATAAGGCATACCATATACTATCCTAGAGTTGTTTACGATAAATGTACGTGTCTATGAGTCACAGCACCCACTATATTTATTTATCTAGTTACATAAACAGTGCTCACATAATTTTTTTTATAGAAGAGGAGAACAAACGAGCATGCGGCTCACCTGATGTTAAGTGACTATCGCCGCCCATGATCAACCGCAACACCAGGGGAATTGCAGGTGCGTTGCCGGCCCTTTAGATAGGAGTAAGCTCTTTTCTTGAAGGTCCCCAGGTCGTATCGGTCCGGAAAAATCGCCCGTGGTAAACTATTCCACAGAGAGGTCTTACGCGGAAGAAAACTCCTTTTGAAACGTACAATGGTGGACCGCCAAGCATCCAGATGGTGCGGGTGGTATCGGGACGTTTGCCGGGTAGTGCGTTCACGAAATTTGGCGGCTGGGATTAATCCGAACAATATATATATATATATATATATATATATATATATATATATATATATATAATATTTTAAGGAAACAAATTACATATGATGTAGTTTTATATGGAAACAGTTACTGACATACACAATATGGTCAATATTGTCTATGTCAGTAACTGTTAGGGTTGTCACTGCTACTAAAGAATTAAAATTAAAAACGTATTATGTTCTCGAAATCCACTCAACATATTTGAGCTGACTTATCCCCTTTAGCTTAAACACAAAACATTTTGAAGTGTTTTGTATTAAACCAAACACACTTGCACATATAGAGGCATTTTGTATGATTTACTTTATTTAAACTTTTACTATTGATAAATTACAGTAAACGATTTCAATGTATGATTCATATATGAACATTTTGGTAGTTTTAACTATTGTGTTTTTCATGCGGCCAGGGAAGTTGTTAAGAACTTTAAAATTACGACGGCTGTTGATTTTGACATTTTTTAAAGAGACAAAGTGCTGTAATGGCCGAAAATTTTTGAAAGCCTTGTTTACTCTTTAGTAGTACATTGAATCCCGATATTTTAGGGTATTATGTGTAGGTGTATCATGATTTAGATGTTTTATACATCATTATCACAAAATTAACAGCATTTCTAGTGACACACTAGTACACATTCTACCTGATAGTCAGTGGATTCTGTGGCCCATAGACATCTACTCATATCCTCGATTAAGAAACAATATGCGATGCGGACTATGAGGACTAATATGGAATGCCTCGCATCCAGTAAAAATGGTCACTCACCATACGCATTGCAGTAGCATTGAGCTGCTGTTTTACGCTGGCATTCTGTGAGAATGTGATCCATCCCTAGTTGAACCGACCCATAGGTGCTGCAACTATAATATGTCTGCCGTATGGATTTACGACGTACAAATGTTAATTAAAATATTTCGATAGAAAACACGATGTGTTCCATTGTGAAGAGTAAGAGATTTCATATTTTAACTACAGTAGTAATTTACTGCATTATGTGTTGGGTCGTTATTAATGCAGTTTTTAAGAGATATAGTGGCTGCGTACAGATGTGGAAGAAGTGGATCGACAACAAGAGCCTGGGCGGACAGGAGCGGCTGAGCACGATCATGCGGTGCGTGATGCTGCGCAGGACCAAGCAGCAGCTGCAGGAGCGTGGCCAGCTGGCCTGCCTGCCGCCTCGAGATGTACACGAGCGCACCGTTACCCTGGCGCGTGACGAGCTCAACGTCTACCAGAAGGTATTTATAGATTGATTCATTCATTACAGCATCCCCCAAGGAAAGCCACAAAGCACTTTCCTGAGCCACCTGCATCCATCGACTTTCTGCGTGTCTTAACAGGTCGTCACTCCATCTGGTGGGGGGGGGGGGGGGGCGCCCTATTCTTCGTCCGGTACGAGGCTGCCACTCGAGAACCTTGCTTTCCTATAGGTTGTCGATACCTCGAGCTATATGACCGGCCCATTGCCACTTCGGTTTACGTATTCGGTAGGTACGCTACCAGAAAGAACGCTCGAATTTATTTGACATGAATACGTCCTTAAATTTCCTTCCATAGTGAGAGGCAAACCCTATTGTTTGCCCAAGATCCTGATCCTGGATGTGGCAGGAGCTCTTGGGTGATGGATATATCGATTTTATTGAGTTCAAAAATGAAAATCTTGCTTTTAATCGTATTTGCATATAATTTAAGAAATAATTTAAAGGTGTAATAAAATTTCGATATTGAAAGTTATAGGCAAAAAACTAATGTTAAAAAAAGTAACGTCGTAATAATGTGAAGTCTTGAACAAATTCAAATTTTCGATGGCCTGTCACTGTTGGGTGTACGGTAGAACGCAACACTGAAGATAACAAAATCGGTTTGGTGTTCCGCCTACATATCTATAGTCTACATCCAAGTTTTAATTACACCACTCGATAGCGAAAGGATCAAGGAAGTTGTTACGTTGAGTAAGAACTATGACGTTGCTATTTTGAAGTCGTTTTGTTACGTTTACCGTTTACGTTACCATTTTTTTTATTTACAATGCTCGGATGTATATATATTTTCACGGGAAATTTTAAGTTTCATGTGAAGTTTTAATTCAAATATTTTATACGCAGTAGAGCCACGCTGCAGCTATATTATGATTGTAGCACGAATGGGTGGACTCGATCGGGGCAGGACCACGTTCTCACAGAATACCAACGTAAAATAGCAGCTTAGTGCTGTTGTGTTTCGTATGGTGAGTGTAGAGATCCGGAGACCCTTTTTACTGGAAACGAGGCATTCCATCTTAGTGCTCAGGGGTGATAACGCATTTGCATTTCGATTCTTAATTGAGGCTAAATGTGGATGTCTATGGGCCACAGCATCCACTTACCATCAGGTGGAGTATGTGCTCATTTGTCACCTAATACTATTAAAAAAAACAGTCGGAAGAAGTCGTGAAATCGCTCAGACATTCCATAATTTTCACATTAAATAGTAAAATGAAACCAATGAAAATTTCTTTTGTTCCAGTTGTTAGTATTTTCGAAGACCCTGTTCGCTCAGTTTCTTCACCAGCGCGCGGAGAAGCGAGCCGACGCTGAAGGATTCCTCCCCTCAGGGAAGGACAGCGCTTACGCTGAAATGCACAAGAAGATGATCAAACTGCAAGGTTAGTTATGTTATTAAGTATACTTTTTTCAAATATTAAGGGTAACAAACGAGCACACGATCCGCCTGATGGTAAATGAATCCTGTGGCCCATAGTCTCTATAGGTGTTAGGACACACACACGCTCGTACATACACACATATGTATACATAATTAAATAAACTTTCACTCGCATACCCTACAGTATTTATATATAGAATAGTTCCTATTGTTTGATTATCCTAATTTTGGAATTTAAGTAATGTATAACATTAATATGGGATATATATAATATGTTTAACAATACCACCTTGTAACATTGATAATTATTGATACAGTAAAAGGAAGAAGAAGAAGGAAGGACGGATCCTCCAGACATAGACATTATTTTCTTAAATGGAGGTTCAATCTACTAGTTTTTAAGCCATGTTATTTTTATTATATTTATGTTATTTTTATTATTTAGGACGGCACCGTGGCGCTGTGGCTTAGTAATTAGTTACAGTGCTGAGGGCGTGGTGTGTTACCGCGCAACAAGTATTTGTATGACCTGTTGTAGGCCATACAAATACTTGTCAGGCCGCCTACAAGTAATTGTTCCGGGTCCGGATGTTTGTCCTTGTGCAATTTATGTATGTAACTATCCACTACCATCTCGAGACGGCGAGTACGACTCTGCTCTTTCTGACCGAGACGCAGGTGTCCTCTCCGGCTGATGTCTCGTATCTCTCCTACCCGGGGTACAAACTGGAACACTCCTTTGAGCCTCGGGCTGGAGTTTGCGTTTACGTCACAGATGACATCTGCTCTCGACGCCTCGGCAGTATTGAAGGTTCGGACCTGCCATCATTTGGCTACGCGTAGACAGCGACGAACATCCGCGCGTCTACGGGTGCCTCTATAGGTCCCATAGCGGTAATGCCGAAACAGACCGACTCTTCGACCACGTCCAAATGGCTGCAGATTCGTTGCTACAGCAGATCCCCTCCGCAGAGATCGTGATCCTCGGCGACTTTAACGCCCGTCACGCCGAATGGCTTGGTTCACGTTTAACCGACAATGCGGGGAGATCTGTTCATGATTTTGCCTTGGCATATGGTCTGACACAACTGGTTACTTCGCCTACGCAGATACCAGATGTGGAGAATCATGCACCTTCCCTGTTGGACCTTCTGCTGACCTCTCATACGGACGGATATAAGATTTCCGTCGACGCCCCTTAAGGCTAAACGGATCATTGTCTTGTCCAGAGTGTGGTACTCACGCTGAAATCGCGGTTACATTCTGCAAGCTGCCGCCGTGTTTGGCAATATGGGTCAGCCAATTGGGATAGGATACGGTCTTTGCATCCTTCCCTTGAGGGCGGGTTTGCTTCTCGCCGGACGATCCCAATGTTGTTGCTGATTCTGTCGCTGATGTAGTAATAATAATATATATATAATATATATATTTCATTTCCAATTACACATGTTTACATACAGGAATAAATATGATTACAATTAAATAAAGTAACAATAAGTCTAACAAAATAACATACTATGATAAAATTAAAACTATGTGTAGCTTAATAATGTAGAATACACAAAAGAAAAATAAAAAGTCAAGTTTATAATATTATCTACCTGTACTTAGTACTTAGTACTTCAGGCCCTGAAGTTCCGTGCCCTGAAGTTCAGGGTACGGAACTTTTTATTCCTTCCTCTGTGGTGCCCATCGGAGGCAAATCTCATCCATGGTTTGGTCGCTCCAGTAAAATAGCATCATGCTATAAGCATGAGTGCTATCAAGCCCGGGCTGACGCATCAACGTCCCTGGATGTGTAAATCCGCATCCAGGTCCATCAAAAGAGTCATTGCCAAGGCAAAGTCAGAGCACAAAGGCGGAATTGGAAGAAACTAGTTCGCCTTCCTTCTGGAACTCGTGCATTCTGGTCTCTCGCCTAGACTGTCCAGGGGAACTTCTGACAGCCATCTCTTCCATCTCTACACAGGGAGGACGACTCACTGGCCCATACCGCACAGAAGAAAGCCGATCTGCTAGGCTCTTTCTTTGCGTCCAACTCGACTCTCGATGACGGTGGGAGTACGCCGCCGACCATCCCGCGGTGTGAGTGCTCCCCGCCGGAGGTGCGGTTTACACAGTGCTCGGTTCGCAAAGCACTCCTCTCCCTGGATATCCACAAGTCGAGTGGACTTGACGGAATCCCCCCATTTGTGCTGAGGATGTGTGCTCCAGAGTTGGCACCGGTTTTAACGCGTATTTTCCGGTACACATACTCCCTAGGCGTAGTCCCAAAATCATGGAAGACGGACTTTCGTCCACCAGATTCCTAAAAAAGGCGACCGCTCAGACCCATCCAGCTACCGGCCTATCGCCATAATATCCTTGTTCTCCGAAACAATGGAGTCCATTGTAAACTGCCAGCTCACGAGGTACCTTGAGGATCTGATTAGTGATCCCCAATACGGTTTTCGTCGTGGTCGATCTGTTGGTGATCTTCCGGTCTGCCTGACTCATAGATGGGCGGAGGTAGTAGAGTCCAAGGGGAAGGCATTGGCCGTTAGTTTGGACATATCGATGGCCTGTGATCGGGTTTGGCACAAACCAATTCTTCCCTATGGGCTTCCCGACAAATTGTGCAGTTGGATAACCAGGTTTCTTGCAGATCGGAGCATCAGGGTCGTAGTAGACGGTGCAAGCTCCGATTACAAGCCCATTAACGCTGGTGTTCCACAAGGCTGCGTGCTGTCACCAACGCTGTTTCTTCACCATATCCATGATATGTTGCAAACCCGTAACATTCATTTCTATGCAGATGACATCACTGGTAATGCTCTGTATACCGGCCGTACCAATATTTCTCGGGAAAACGTCTCCGAGTACCGGGACAAGCTTGTGTCTGAAGTAGAGTCTTCGCTGAACAAAGCCTCGGATTGGGGGCGACTAAATCTAGTCCAGTTTAACACTCAAAAGACACAAATTTGCGCGTTAACCGGTAAAAAGAGCCCCTATGTCGTATCTCCTCAGTTTCAAGGCACTCCCCTTGTTGCCTCAGCCTGTATCGGAATCCTTGGCGTCGACATATCGAGTGACGTGCAGTTTCGTGGTCGCTTGAAAGAGAAGGCGTGCTCAGCAGAGCGGGACAGTATTTCATGCCGGCACACTGTCTGCAACTTTACAAGGCGCAGGTTCGGCCGCATATGGAATACTGTTCCCAACTCTCGGCTGGGGCTCCCCAGTACCAGCTCCTTCCACTTGACCGCATCCAGTGTAAGCGGCTCGAATCGTCGACTACCGAGTGCTTTCCGATCGGCTTGATTTATTGTCACTGCGAAGAGATGTTGCATTTCTTTGCATTTTCTTTCGCATATACTACGGGGAATGCTCTGAGGAATTGGTCAGATTAATCCCAGCCGCCAAATTTCGTGAACGCGCTACGCGGCAAACGTCGCGATACCATCCACACCATCTGGATGCTTGGCGGTCCACCTCTGTACGTTTTACAAGGATTTGGTGTTTTTCCCGATACGACCTGGGGACCTTCAAGAAAAGAGCTTACTCCTTTCTAAAGGGCCGGCAACGCACCCGCAATTCCTCAGGTGTTGCGATTGTTCATGGGCGCGGTAGTCACTTAACATCAGGTGAACCGTATGCTCGTTTGCCCCCTCTTATATAAAAAAAATGTAAACTGCCTCCACGATAAAGGCGAAAACCTATAACATAGGAATATATTTTATAAATAAATGGGTATGCAGTTCCTTGACTGACCATTTGTTTTTTAGTTTGCGATGAAAGTTTTACAGTTTCAACTAACTTCTCAATCTCTGCAAACTCTTCGGCGTGTATCGCTTTAAGATGGCTCTTTAAAGTTAATGCGTAATAGTTGTGCGGCCTGTTCGCGAGTATATTTTGTCACATAATTTACATCTGACTGCTAAATAATCAATCTCATGATTGCACTTAAATCACACACACGACTCAAATTACTAATTAACTAGTAGTAGTATTTAAACAAACCCTTTGGGATAAGTGCCGAAAGCACGTGCCCAGCTCGCTTGTGATTGGCTGAAATGTCCCGCCCCGCTCTTACACGTGCTCAGCTATCAAACGCGTACCTCGTCTGCTGCATCACATGAATAGATAAACGGAATTTTATCTACTTATGTGGCTGCGTCACTGAGTTCCGTTCAAACTTCCGTTATAAAACTTGCGGAAACAGAAGCAGAAACGGATGTTAAAAACCATGCAGAACTTCCGTAGTTGCGAAAACAGAAACAGAGTTTTGTTGCATCACTGCTGCTAATGTCAAACACTTGATTGTCGCTTGGACAAATAATGTCGTATGTTACGGTTCATACTCCCAATGTCTCAGAATTAGTACAAGCATAATATTATGTATGGTCCATGCAGGTTAGAGAGAAGGAGAACGATCGCTGTAGAAAATAGTATCCCGGAAATATGGACAAAATAAGTGAGTCTCTGCGATCGCTAAGTTGTCTCAATAAAAGCGGCCTGTTGTGCGCTAGTTTGAAATGATCTATCAACGTTTAATATACGCGTATATAATATCATTAAAAAATAACGAAATTTTTATTATTTATTAATAAATATTAATAAATAGTAATAATAATTTCATTATTATTTAATATTTCGTTATTAAAATTATTAAGTATTATTTATTAAAAAAACATATTTTTATAATTTTAATTATTATAAATATTATAAATTATTACAAATTTTGAGAATTTACTAACTTGTAAATCTTGTAATTGACCTTAATATCAACAATTTCTTGAAAGTTCAATAAAGAATAATTTAGTAAAAAAAACCATGATTAATTAAGCAAATAAATATTTTACATATTCAATATTTCAATGTGCAGCTATGAATCGATAACTTATGAAGATATTACTTTTGGTATTTTAAATAACGACGATTGACGCAAATTATTTTTTAGTCTATTTTTCCGATCAGACGCTAAACCACTAGCACGCACAATACCATATTTCACCTTTTTTAATGTTTCTCTTTGTCAAAAATTAAAAAATTACGGAGCACGATTATTATCTCACCAATGCCGCGAAGAAAATTTGTACATTATTCAACTAACTTCATCTACTTGTACTCATAAACAGCTAACTTCACAGATACTACTTACCGACGGCAGTTTAGGGACAGGCGGGCTATGCTTTAGCATGTAGCGATCGTTCGCCCTCTCTCTAACCTCCATGGTATGCTCTATAATTATGTATTACTCTAAGGCCAATGTCAAAGACTTAATAATCTGTGGTCAAACAGTCGCACAGAGTAGAAATTGTCGTCAAAGAATTTTAAAATATTGTTGCCAAATAAATACTGACAGATTGACTATAGTGAATTTTGTGTAATTATAAATGTTTCTTTTTCAAAAGTCTGTGGAGTGTATTGTAAAGGCTAAAAAGTGTTTCTTTTATATTTTATTTATTAGATATCTTTGTTTTGTATATGTGCAACCTAAAAAATTTATGAATTACGGTCGAATTTCGATTATTAGGCGACCATTTATACTATAATTCCTTAAAATCTAGGTGCAAAACCAGTAAAATCTCACGAGATCTTAGTACTTCTGCTACGGTTGAGGCAAGTTTGCTGCCATTGCAGTCTCATAGCGGCCATACTGAACGATGATGATACAACCGGTGAACAGCTGGAGACGGATAACGCGGAGAACGATCTGCTGGATGAGCTCAACAAACTCGTTCTGGAAGACAAGAAAAATACCAAGAGAAAGGTATATCAATAACAGTATTGAAATGCATAGTTTCTTAGAATTTTTTGCGTGTTTGTAAAAGTACCATACAGTGGCGGTGTAAGAACATCCGCTACTCCCTAGCTTCCCGCGGGTGTCGTAACAAGCGACGGAGCGAAACAAATAAGGAGATGGGCAGCAGCGTCTTCCTAATAACGACTAAAATAATAAAACCACGGATGGCTACCATCTTGCCAAGCGTGGCAATTGTGGTGTATATCCCCCCCATGAGGCAATTTATGGGGGAGACCTATGTTTAGCCGTGAACTTTAATAGGCTGTAAGGGTAACCGGTTGTGAAAATAGATTGGACCTTCGCGTAATTTATTTGATAACAGGAATTCGGTCATTCTGTTTGAAGTACGTTGTGTGTGTATATATATATATTTAAACCAAAGAGATTTAAATATATATATATATATACACTATGCAGCGGACATTAGGAACATTTGAATATAAAAGCTGTGACCACTCGCATGTATCTCTAGCGAAATATAGCAATACTTCACTGAATATTTATTTAGAAAATATTTTAGCTATTTCCCAGTAGGTGACGCTACTAAACATAAGCTAAAAATCATCGTTAGTCACTAAAATATTTAAAAATAAATAGTGACGTTATTGGATAACAGAGGGCATTTATTACAATAATTTTCCTTTCTTCTAGAACAATCCACTAGAAATAATAAAATTTAAAAATTATTTGCTAAATACACATTATTCTTACGATAATAAACTGAAATCACTTTCATTTTTTGCTCCATATCGTGACTTACAATACTTTAATGCACAACCGCACATATTTTCTTTAAAAATACTTTTTTAAATATATGAAACGAATACGTCTTGACCTTTTGACGATGTCACTTAGACTAAATGACAAAAGTCGGAGATATATCCTATAGGACAAAACTTACAGACGACAATTTTGTTGCTGATGTCCGGTCTATTACTACTACCTATTTAAATGTCTTTGGTGTAAACCATACTCAGCGCTTTATTGTAATATCAAATTACTACTTACTACCTAATTACTACCTAAATTTAAAGTTAAAGTTACAGCCTATATACGTCCCCAATGCTGGGTACAAGCCTCGTCTGAATTCTGAGAGGTTTTTAGGTTAAGGAGGTGTCCGCCGCGCTGCCCCAATGCGTGTTGGCGAACTTCACATATCTTCGAAATTTTTTTTTGTCTTATTCCTCTGACATGCAGGTTTCCTGACGATGTTTTCCTTCACAACGGAATACGTGTTAAATCAGCACACTTTTTACTATTTGCTTTTCTACGGTTTGCTCGCGTACTGTGAAATATACAGCAGCGAGCGCTAAGTATTTGAGCGACCACTACTATGGCAATAGAGCTCTTACTACCAACCTTTTTCAAGGTGATTCCCGATAAAACCTGTTTGTGCGCACATATATTATAAATCAAGTTTTAAAATAAATGCGGTGCTGTGCGAACGCTCTCTCTCTCTCTCCCTCTCTCTTTCTCTCTCTCTCCCCCTCTCTCTCTGTCTCTTATAAACATACGCACACACGCACGATAAAATTGTTAAAAAAAATTATGAAATCTCTGCTGGCTTACTGTAATTTATTGTGTATTGTAAATACGACAAAACCGCTGTATGATGAACTAAATAAAATAAAAATAAAAAATATGTTTATGCAAATGCTATCAAGTTTAATTGCATGCAATATCAAGAACAATATCAAGAACGAGACAACAATAATCTGTACACACAAGAGCCGGTACACGTTCATTGAATCATTGATACAGCCCATTACAAATCCACTTCCCTGATAGGTTACCTCATATAGATGATGTTTGTCAAAATTGTGTCATTGATTAAAGCTACTTTTCCATTGTCATATCATACAGTGTTATATCCCTCTACATAAGTGTGGTCTCTCATATATAGGGCAAACAAAAACATCAATTAGAACCCGCGTAAAAGAACATATAGCTGATGTGAAGCATCAACGTTCCGGGAAGTCTGCAGTTTGTGATCATATCCCAGACGGCTCCGCCATTACATCTGATTTCACAGACCACAAATCCTCGCGAAAGAACACCGATTCCTACTGAGGATTTTTTTTATAGAAGAGGGGGCAAACGAGCATGCGGCTCACCTGATGTTAAGTGACTATCGCCGCCCATGATCAACCGCAACACCAGGGGAATTGCAGGTGCGTTGCCGGCCCTTTAGAAAGGAGTAATCTCTTTTCTTGAAGGTCCCCAGTTCGTATCGGTCCGGAAAAATCGCCGGGGGTAAACTATTCCACAGAGAGGTGTACGCGGAAAAAAACTCCTTGTGAAACGTACAGTGGTGGACCGCCAAGCATCCAGATGGCATGGATGGTATCGGGACTTTTGCCGCGTAGTGCGTTCATGAAATTTGGCGGCTGGGATTAATCCGCACAATTCCTCAGAGCACTCCCCGTGGTATATGCGAAAGAAAATGCAAAGAGATGCAACATCTCTTCGCAGCGCCAGTGAATCGAGCCGATCGGAAAGCACTCGGTCGTCGACGATTCGAGCCGCTCTGCGCTGGATGCGGTCAAGTGGAAGGAGCTGGTACTGGGGAGCCCCAGTCCAGAGATGGGAACAGTATTCCATGTGCGGCCGAACCTGTGCCTTGTAAAGTTGCAGGCGGTGTGCCGGCATGAAATACTGTCCCGCTCTGCTGAGCACGCCAAGCTTTTTAGAGGCCAATTTGGCCTTCTCTTCCAAGTGACCACGAAACTGCACGTCACTCGATATGTCGACGCCGAGGATTCCGATACTGGCTGAGGCAACAAGGGGAGTTCCTTGAAACTGAGGAGATACGACAAAGGGTTTCTTTTTAGCGTTTAACGCGCAAACTTGTCTTTTGAGGGTTAAACTGGTCTAGATTTAATCGCCCCCAATCGAAGACTTTATTCAGCGAAGACTTAAGCTTGTCCCGGCACTCGGAGACGTTTTCCCGAGAAATATTGGCAGGGCCGGTGTACAGAGCATCACCAGTGCTCTCATCTGCATAACAATGAATCCTTCAAATCAACCTTTCTTCGTCAGATATTCCTGGCATACATCCAGGGTATGTTCCCTGCACAAGTGTTTTCTGAACATACACAATTCATTTTGCTTTTCCGGTCCTTGTTCCTTAGACGGATCACACTTTTTTGTGGGCAGAATAGGGTTCTGTTCTACTAACGATTGTATCTTTTTCAAGATACCTCCCAGGAGAACCTGGAGATGGGTGGGCAAAATTGCTTATGTGTATCTTTCTTCTATTTGAGTGATTATTCGTGGCAAGCTTTCTTAGAAAATGGCGTCTTCCTGTGCTTGATTGGTTGCCATTTTCAGCAGAAAAAAAATAATTGACACCTAATATATTCAGAAGACTATGCATCTATGATGTAATTGGTCGAAAAATCTACCATCTCTCTTATGTGTGTATATGGCGCGTTGCACCAGGATTCGCATCTGTATGCATATTTAATAAGAAGGGAGCAATGAAGTATTGCGTAATAAACAAACATTTTAATAATAAATTTCTGCTAGTTACCGAACTTGCCCGTCAAAAATGTTTCAGCTCATAACATTCACAAAACAAGCCTAACAAAACTCAAAATAGTACACTACCGTAAATATGACTGCGCTTCAACTGTGCATACGCACAATTTATAAATAGCCTGCCGGTGTCGACTTATGACATTACATAAAATGGCGCCGACGTGCATTTTGTTTTTGCAAAATTACTAACGAAAATATTATTTTCATATGGCCTAAGATCTGAGAGGGTAGTGTTTAATTATTATATTAATAATATTTAATCTGGTATTCCTGTTTATTCTTGTGACTAGAGCGGTGAAGGCGAGAAGGAGAAGAAGAAAGAGAAGGAGGAGGAAGACGAGGAGGGGACGACGGCCGCAGAGGCCGTGCGCTCGGTGCTGTCGCGCACCAACCCGGTGTTCGACCTGGAGCGGCGCTCCTCCAAGATCAGCGCCGTCATGGACTGTCTCAACGAGAACGTCTTCCCTAATGAAGGTTATGCCTGTTTGTTTTCTCGTGTAGCGGAGAGATTTAAACCGTGTAATAGTATTTTGTGAGAGCGTGAGCTTTGTGGCATTACTTGGGGGAGGCCTATGTTCAGCAGTGGACTTGTGAAGGGCTGTAATGATGATGATGATGATGATGAGAGCGTGAGCTTTCTTTAATCGACCCAACATTCGTCCTACATCCATAATATAGCTACAGCGTGGCGCTACCACGTATAATATATAACAAACTACACAAAACAAGTGCTTGCGTGGCCTACAGCTAATTGTTTCAGGTCTCGGTGTTTGTCTGTGTGTAAAATATATATGTTACGCCTCCTTGATACAGAACAATAAACAGAAGTAGTAAGCTCAATAAATATACCTACATTCGTGAAGTTTTATCATTTTTCTTAATATGTATGTAATAATAATAATAAAATAATGTCCTCCAGACCGAATTTCGGTCACGGCGGCCTGCCTCGACAGAGACTAGACATCGGCGCAGGACAGGATTATAGTACCCAAGTGAATGCGCAAGCACAGGTGCACTCTCTATCTATCTCTATTCCCTCACTCTCATATTCCGATGGGACGGTTAGCCGACACGACCGGAGAGAGATCAGGCGCAGGATCAACGGCTTTACTGCCCAGCCAAGTTGAATCGGTCGATTGACCTCTCGGGGTAAGTTGGATTTTACTAGTCGTATTATATTATGTCCTAGGTAAACATACTCGTCGACAACATGAGCGTTGAGATCCCAACAACTACCGGCTTAGGTCCTGGACGTTATACATAATATACATTTTTTATTGATTTTCTTGCTTTCTGACATTCCACATCCGCCGGGCATCCCGTGACTGTTAACTTTTATTTAATTTTCTGTTGCTTGAATTGTTGCGGGAGTTTAACAGTTAAGGTGAACGTGTGTTTAGGCGAGAAAGCGGTGGTGGTGTCTCAGTGGACGGGCGTGCTGCGGCTGGTGGAGCGCGAGTTGAAGCGCGCGGGCGTGCAGTGCGTGACGCTGAGCGGCGACGTGCCCGTAAACGCGCGCGCGCCGCTCGTGCGCGCGCTCAACGACCCCGCCTCGCCCGTGCGGGTGAGTAGCACGAACACGCGCACACGCCCACACGCACACGGACATACGTACAGTGCGACTCAGAGCGACGACATGATCGTGCCCGCGCGATTTACGACCCCTCCCTCATGCATAGGTGTTCACTCGTACACGCGCACACACACATGCACACACGTACATGTACACACATACACAGGTGTACATGCACGTACGTACGCATTCAAATAAACAACACTACGTCACACTCATACGTAAGTAATAGTACAAAATTTTAGAAATATAATATTATATTAGTGGATTTTGCTACTTGCTTCCAACTAGTTTTGGAAATTGATTTATTTCTTTGTTAATGTTATTAACAGTCATAAAGCGATAAGAGCTTGATGGAATGATGGATTATCTACGTAGCTCTGAATATAAAATGTAAAGCGATGTGTTGAAGTTACGCAGAAAATGCCTGGCAGTTTTAGTGACAGTGTTTATTAGGGTGAAAGACTCATATGTTTAGTACTCATAAATTTGATTAGTAGCCAATTAACACGTACCAGGAAATATTTTATATTCAATAATAGGATTTTTAGATATGCAAATGTAGTACCGTTTGATGACAATATGCAACAACCACTACAATTCGTCCCGTGAAATATAAAGTGTGATGAAATGCCAGAAAGATCTTTCCATCTGGTCTAGAAACGATACCATAGGTTAACAGAAGACAAAATCTCAAATTGACGACGAGGCGCAGCATCAAAAATGCTCTCGTTTAGTTCTACGATAGTCAATTATACCAGATTATACCAGAATTAGACTGATATCCACAGGGTTTCCCAGAAGTCAACGTCAAGCCAGAATTGGGTGAAAGGCCAAGTCATAATAGTTAACAGAAAAATATAAAAAAATCAACAAAATTTACACCCTGTGGAGGGGCTTTTAACTCCTGTTGCTACAAATTTTAAGTTTAATTTTCGTTTTATTGTGCAATCCTGAATAAATACTTTACTGTTTCTTAAAATTTACAGCCAACTGCTCCAGAAGAAAATGTAATTTTTTTCCCAAACAAGTATTAAAATTCAATACTTAGCTCAGTTTTAAATGAATATATTTACTGAAAGAAAGTACAACACGAATCTGGAAAATAGTAACTTTAAAATTGCGCATTTAATAAGGATTACAAGATTATTTCTTAAATTATGGATTTTTATAGAAACCATTTGTTTATTAACTTTCCTTACCTTACTAAAATGGTTTTTTGTACCCCAAGGCTTTCCTCAACCCTGTTACTCTTTATTCTATTTGAGTGAAACGAAGGGAAAAAGTTGTCGAAGTGTGAGCACGGCGATTGTTGCAAAAAAAAAATATAAACGACTGAATCGAAAATTGTGCTATTGCGCATTCGATTGTCGATTTAGTAGTTTCTCATCATTATTATTCGAATAACAATCGACAAACTACTAACTGTACGCACACTGCAATCCGCTGCTATGTAATGCACGAGCCGAGCGGATTTTTTCTAAAGAAGGTATGTTAACTAACCAAAGACGTCGCCGAAAAGCTGGGTGAAATAACACTTTAAATAAAGGTTTTGACCTAATGTAAAACTGTTTCGTTAATATTATAATTCTACTTTATTTTAAAGTGCTCAATTTAATTTTTTAGTGTCATGAACGATGTTTCAATTCTCGCCAATCAAATTGTATTTAATGTAAATACGTATATTTTTATATTTTCTATTGGCGCCAATCGCATACGTAATAACTGCAGTCGTAAAGCGGGAAATTCACTAGACGGACACGCCCACGGGCAGTTTTTCCGGGCATGTCTGTGGCCGCAATACATTACACATACACACACTCATCAGTTTGTTTTAGACCGGCTTCGTGATTAGTTGTGCGTGCACATTAAGATGATAACCTAGACTTGCAACGCTTATTATTTATTGTGTGCAAAGAATTGTATGAAGATACAAGAAATAAGCTTAGCCATATCAATTTACATAAAGAACTAGAAATTGATGAACCAGGAGACCTGTACAATTACTTGCCCATGGATATAGAGTCGTATGAACTCTTCTCAGAATATTTTATTATCATTAAATTCTCATTGCAAATTAAAAATCTCCAAAGTTTGTTAAATAATAAATAAGGCCGTCTGCACTGGTTGCTGTCGCTTTTGTGTCTGTGAACAGACCGCCCGCAGTCAACGTTTACACACAGACAAAATGAGATCGCGCGGACGTTCAACAGGCCAGGCTGCCGGACCGACTGCGACGGTCATGCTGTGCCTGCGCTATCAAACTTTGCACAGATCTGTGGAAGCGAGGTCCGGCAGGCTTGTCTGCAGACACGCCCGTGGGCAAGTCCGTCTAGTGAATTCTCCGCTTAACGTAAGTAGTGGCGCAAACACTTAGCGCCACACCTTCTTTTGTAACTACTCATTTAGTAGTACGTATAATAGGTGCTCTGTGCTACAAATTAGTATTTGAATTTGACACCGTAACAATGTCAGCCATTGTCGTTCGCCGCACGCTATTAGTCGATAACAATCGATAACACATGGATTGTTATCGAGTTTTATCGACTAAACTGAACATTGACTTATTCGATTAGTTATAGAAATAAGTAATAGCAATAATAAAGTAATAGCGATGGGCCATCGCTAATAGTGACGCTAACGTGACAAAGACGGAGAGAGTAATTTTACTTAGTTTCAGCGAGACAGATAGTGACGGTACTTTTTTAAGTTTAGTACTTTACGCTTCCTCGTTTACTGCGTATCTTTCTGTATCTGTATCCGTGGACTATCATTGATAGTGTAATTTTGCAGTGCCACCATGTCTGTTGTACACCACACAAGAATATGCTAACCTATACCTCATTTTTGGGGAATGCAGATGCAACGGTAGTACCGCAGCTAGACTTTGTGGTGAAAAGTACACAAATGCTGCTCGTCATCCGGATAATCGAATTTTTTGAAATGTGCACCGTTTACTCTTCTTGAAGGGCTGACTCCTAAACAAAGCACATGCTAAGATGGACCTTCCTTCCCTTACGTGGACGGTGTGCTAGAAACTGTCGAAGAAGACCCGAGTACTTCAGTGCGTGCAATAGAATTAAGAGCTGGAATGCCTAAAAGAGCAGCTCACAGGATATTGCGAAAAAATGAGCTTAACTAATATACCACGTACACCGAGTTCAAACTCTTCTTCCAGAGATTATTAGCCTTGGGTTTCTTTTTGTCAAACAATGCTAGAAATAAACATGGAAGAAAAAACTTTATGAGCGGATGAGTCCACATTTATAAAAGATAGATGCATGAATCTGCGTAACTTACACGAGTGGCACGTAGAAAATCCAAATTTGATGAGAGAAGATCAATAACGGTATATCCCTTTAAGATTAACCTTTCGACCAGAATTTTAAATGGAAAATTATCAGTACTTTTGAGCTGCCAGACCATTTAACATAGCTTCTTTAGATTTTGACTTGTCCAGTGTATTTGGATTTCTTACCAAATCATCTGCTAAATTTATTGGGGGACGTGCCACTAAGTATCTACACATGATATGTGTAGATACTTAGTGACACTCTCTCACTTAGTGAGTGAATATAGGATGAAGAATACCCAAACAGATTGATAAGGTGGTCTGGTACAATATCGTGGCCAGCCCGTTCACCAGATTTTAGTCCATTAGATCTTTTTAAGGAGCTTTAGGGAGCCGTCAAAGAAAAAGTTCATTTAAAACCGATTGGAAATATAGCTGAGCTACGACAAAGGCTAACTAAAGCGGCAGAATTTGTAATTAATAGAACATGATTCGCTCGTCTGATAACCTGATCCGTTGAGAAGATGCCGAACTTGCATTGTGAGTGAAAAAAGGCAGTTTGAACATTTTCTGTAAATGTTCCATCCATTGTTTTTTGTGAGTTTTGACATCCAAGACATTTTGTGAGTTCAATAAACTTTAGTATTCAAATAATCGATATTCAATTTATTAATTTATAACATTTCTAAAAAATAATAGATTTTCAAAATAAAATTACTGCCTCAATAAATAATGTGTTTGAGAGCTATAATAACAACATAAAGTCTTCTTTGAATGCTCTTCGTGACGATTTAAGTGAGTTTAAACAGCAATTGCATGATATGAAGTTTACCACCGAGAAATTATCAAATGAACAAACTGTCCTCAAAAATGATATTTCCTTATTGAAATCTTCTACTGACCAAAATAACCTCAAAGTTGAATCAATCTTAAGGGTATGTGCCTTACAATCTACCGTCAATAACTTATCAGAACAGCAACAAGCGAGGGAACAACAAGGAAGGATCAATAATTTAGAAATATCAGGAGTACCTTTTACTAAGAGTGAAAATTTACTAACTATTGTTCACAACATCGCAACAAAGATTGGTTTCCCTTTGGAGTCATCGGATATCGATTACATCCACCGTGTTCGACGTTTTAACTCCAAAAGTAGCGATAGTACAAACATTGCTGATGGCAGATCTCGAAACTTCTCCCTGACTCCTAATATAATCGTTAGGTTTACACAAAGAAAGCGGAAATCTGATATGCTTGCGGCTGTGCGTGCCCGACGAGGGTTGACAACAGTGGACGCTGGTGTGGACGGCCCGTCTAAGCCTACTTTTATTAGTGATTATTTATCGCCACGTAATAAATTATTATATAAGCAAGTGCGTCTAATTGCTAAAGAAAAAAGCTATAAATATGTTTGGTTGTCAGATTGTAAGATATTTGTACGTAAAAATGACGAGTCCAAAGCATTACTGGTAACTAGTGAAGTCGACCTTATTAGAATTAAGTGACTATTCTTACTTTGTATATTTAATTTAAACCATTCAAATATTCTATGTAACTATTTATATATATCAAGTTTTAATTTTAATCTCACTAAAATAATGTCTTTGTTAATTTGGTCTAAGATAAGAAGTTTATATTACGTATTTATATTCTTACATGTTGGTGGAACGGTGTTAATTACAATTTTTAAAATACGATA